TGTGTGTGTGTGTGTGTGTGTGTGTGTGTGTGTGTGTGTATATATATATTTTTTTTTTGCTATACCCAGGCAGAACAGATTGGTCCATAGACGTCAATTCGACGTTTATAAATCGATTCGATGTCGATTCGATATAATGGGAAAAAGTGAATTCGGTGTGATGATAAAGTACTTTTTGCATGAAAACTATTAAGATAACTAACCACTTCATTAATTGTTGATTGAGAAATATAATTGTTGATCTAATATTTGTAGTTGTTTTTTAATTTACACAGAATTCACTTTTTTCATTGTAACAAAAAAAATCACAAACTTATTCGCTTTTGAACGCTGTTAAAAAATTACTATTTGACAGATCTACATAAAATTTTATAACAAAGAATGCCAAACTACATTTTAAATAAAAAAAATGGATTATTGAATTCCTTAATTATTATGATACATGATATTTCAGTGAAAGTTATCAAAGTAAGAAGGCATTTTTGTAACTTTTATTCTATAGTAAGATATGCAATTTTGATCCCTTGAATTTAAATTTACATAAATTATTTACACATATTATAGTGCATTACATTAATTACTTTATATAATTTTATTTACATTGATACTTGCGAACTTTTAATTACTTGTTATACTTACAAATCTTTTAATTACTTATATATCTTACTTCTTTTCATTTATCTTTTCGTAACTTACATACAAACACGTAAATTTACAAGAAATTTGTTTAACTACTTAGTATTTTTTGTTTTACTATTTCTTTAAAAATAATAATTCTAGAATAATACTAAAAAAATCAATTGTCATTTAACAATATAAAAATTTCCAAGACTACGATATGTATATCGTAGCGAAAAAATGCTTCTGGCAATCGTTCCATCACCGCGCAATTTTTCTGCTTAACAAATCATAATTTAATTTGGTATTCCTGTGCCGTATGGTCTTTGAGATTTATCGGAGCCGAATGACGATGCATTAGCGATAGAAGAGTACGGAAACGAGATGAGGGTAACAAAACGAGGGCGGAAAATCGAGAGGAAGCGCTGACTAACCCTCCGTCTTTAAGTCCTCCTTCTCCGCTCTTCTTCCTTCCTCTCCTTCCTCATTTCCTTCTCCAACAAGGCTCCTCAAGACGCGATAACGAATCAATTGAGATCTGAATCGAGCCCAAATTCAGATAAGTAGAACTTAGACGCCAACTAAATAAGTAAGAAACTACAATGGGGGTAACGAGGATTCGAGGATTAACCTATCAATCAATCTACGCGTTAAGTATCTCCACACTTATGATTACTAATATTAGTACAGTTTTGCTAAGAAAGGATTAATAAAAAAATAATTCAAGAACAATCTTACACTAAACAAGCGATATTAAAATTGAAACATTATTTTGTGCTATCAATAACTTTTCAACTTTTAATTAATTAAAATTCGTAAAATGAAACTTTTTAGGACTTTGTTTAGATATATGCATTGCAAACTGAAACGAATAATTCAACAATTTAAGAAATCCCCTATAACGAAGTGAATTATTTTAATTATATAAAAAGTTTCAAACGAATTATTTTGTCGTCTGCAGTTGCAAGATATCCCTGAGACGTATCACAATTCTAGATACGAATTCTTGCAGAATCGGCTGTCGTGCCTTGCCGACGTCCATTACTTCCTCATGGTTCGCCTCGCCATGATCTTCGTAATCAATGACGCACTGGTTAGTAATTAAACTGAACGCAAACACGGTGAGATCGCAATGCCGGGCAGTGATCACCTCATGAACTGTAGACATGCCTAAAAATGATTTCATTCATTCAAACTACAATTCATAATACAATACAAGGAAAAATAAATTAAAGTTTGAAGAAAGTGAAGGAATTAACGATTCTAAATAGGACAGAATGCGACTATTTCATTAATGAATAGTATGAATTAATAAATTAATAATAGTTACTATTTTGTTTTACAATGAAATTCTTATATAAATTATTTCTTTAATTATTAATAATTATACGTCTTTTAAAGCAATTAAAAATACAAACAGTTTTATAAAAAGATTAATTTCATCATTACAGAGGTCATTCTGTTGTCTCATTCATTTTATAGATTTAATTGCCTCACATGACGTAATTCAGATAAATGTAATTGCAAAACACGCATTATATCTATCATAAGTTGTTTTGTAAAAACCAAAAAATTTAATTGCTTATCTATGAATCAGCACATATGTGATACTTTGTAACTTCAATACTGAATGTCTCCAATAGGGTTTGTACTATATTGATGTTTATTAATAATTATATAGTGCCTCATATTTGATAACGTTGAACAACCAAATTAATGTAATTCCGTATTTTTCGAATACAGATTTTTTTTGTACACATTTTAAAACTTCTTAGTAAAATACAATAAAAAAAGAGGTCTTTCACTTGTTGCCGTTACGATTTGATAATAAAAGTTACTATAAATACGATAACGATACAATAAAAAAAAAGGTTTTCCACAATAACAAACTTTGCAATACAAATTGTTACAATTGTACATAGTTCCAATAAAAATAATACGCAGAAAAGTTAAATGTTTTGAGAATGTTAAAAGCGTTTTTTAATAAATTGCTTATTTGTCATGTAAAATATGCACAAACAAAATTATTAGCTCATCAAATATGTATAAATAATGCTGTAATTATTTCTTTCTATAACTATTAATTTTGGAAAATATAAAGATTAAAAATAAGAGATTTCAGTAATGATGAATGTTATAAACAAGTAATGCAAGCTTGGCTCAATTATGTAATTGAAAAATTAATGACATACCAACTGCGTCGACGCCAACCATTCGTAACATTTTCAACTCTGCCACTGTCTCGAAATTAGGTCCACCCAAACACGTGTAAACTCCCTTGTGTACGATATCGCCAATGCCCATCTCTTCGGCTACCTGTCTACCGATTTCCATTAGCGTAGCGTTGTAGGCTTTATTCATGGGTGGAAATCGAGGGCCAAATCTGAGAAATAAAGGAACAAATATATTAAGAACAGAAGAATTCCACAATAATATGTAATGAATAATAATCGGATGATAAAATTATAATTTTTATACTCCAAATAAATTTTTCAGATTTATGTTTTATTTAATTTCCTATTTTTCTTGAAAAAGAAGAAATAATATATTTCTTCGATTCGTTGTAGATAAAAATAAATTTAATTAAAATACTGTAGAAATTCACATTATTAACAAATTTAACCGTTTAACCGTTGAATTAAACGTTTTCTTTATGATTTCTGTGTGATAAAAACATAAAGACTCTTGTCTAGAAACAACTCAAAGAAGAGACAATGGAAAAAATATTTGTTAAAAGCAATTTGTTGAAAGAATAGATATGTTAGAATTGATGTATATCCTTGAATATCGGATTGATAAATTATTTACACCGATTGATGTATTTGCTCTGTAAAACCTTGTACGCTCTACCTTATCACCTCTTATCTCCATCTCTTCTCCAACTAATTTCACTTTTCTCTCTACTTTCTACATTGTTCCATTGTGTGTGTGTGTGTGTGTGTGTATAAAAAAACTTCATAAACGTAAAAAAAAGAAATACAATGGACCACAGATACTTCACAAATCAAACTAACAAAGTAATTAATCCCGCGCAAGCGTGTCTTCGAACAATTTCTTAATCATTTCTTTTTGTTGCTAATTGTATTCGTTTTCGTTTCCAAATCGAATTAACTTATTTTTTCGTCACAGTCGATTATAAAGACGATCATTTTATCAAAAATTTTTTCAACAATCTTCTATAATTTAACTATATACTTATGTTTTATATATTGGTAAAGAAATGCTACTCGTACACAGAGTACGAATCTCACCTGTCATCATTTGGTCCTTGAAGCGGGTTGTTGCCAGCAAAACCCATCATATTCACATGATCCTTCACTATCATCATATCGCCTACTTTGTAGGTGGGATTTAATCCACCGGCCGCGTTCGTAGCAATTAAATGTGTCACACCTACCAGCTTCATCACTCTCACTGGCATGGCACACTATAACAAATTATAGATAGTCATTGTCTCAACCAATAAAATATTTTATATTATATTTATTTTACCCAAAATGAAATTGTTATTATTGAAGCCAGTCATACCTTCCAGAGTGGATAGCCTTCATAATAATGAAATCTGCCTTGCATGCACATGACTGGTACACCTTGAAGATAACCAAACACCATCTGACCGGTATGGCCTTTTACCGTAGACACCGGAAAATGTGGGATTTCTTCATAGGGAAAGCATTGCTTGTCCACAAGGGATTCCGCGATCGAACCTGGACACAACTCGTTTTGCTCATTTGATCCTGTTTAGGAATAAACAAAGCTGTGATAGGCTAGACCATCACCGGAAATCCCGCAGAACCGTTTAGCATCGTTTGAAGCAATATACACAGTATACACACACTCACATAAACGTTGTTAAACCCATCTTAATTATGTATCCTCAATCACATCTTTTCAGAAAGTACCTTTTAGTGTAGAAGAATTACTCTGTTAGACGCTAAATGTCTAAATCAGAAAAATTTTGGAAAAATTATTTATATTCCTTTCAAAGTATTCAAAATTAAGTGAATAGAATAAACGATAAATGACATTATTAAATTCTGATATTGAATTTTAAAGAACTTGTGTAATATGTCTCGTCAATTAATTCTTTCCTGATAATCCTTAAGAATAATCTTTAAGAAAAGATAAGTTAATTTCTTTCCTTAAAGCTCCTGAAAACTTTCAAATAATGTATAATAACTTTATTTTAACACGCGCATGCAATACACAGTTTGCACTGGCAAATATGTTTATTTGTGCTTTGATTTAGCTCTTTCTTAACATAATTAAAATTATATATTACATAAAGTTACGTCACGGTTTAAATAGAATTAGAATTAGAATCAGCTGTAATTTAGCGTGTTTAAGGCAATTAAGGATATTTAAGCATGAAATCAGGATACGAAACTTGTATACATATAAGCGTGAAATTAGAATTAGGCGGACATTACTAATTTTGCTCTAGTAATAATGTTTATCAAATATTATACAAATAGCAGCTCGTAGAAATGTATATAGGTAGGCTACATTTCAAAATCGTTTCATTATAATTTTATATTCTTTTCAATTACAATCTGTGTATATATATATATATATATATATATATATATATATAAAAAGCTGGAGCAAATCTTACAATTAGATAAATTAGCTTTATAAGCATATGTTTATATTAAAGAAAAAAAATATCTATTTAGAGTATTGTGTCAGCCTTGTAGTTTTTAAATAAAAATTTTTCAATAACGTCAAATATTAATTTCTTTATCAAAGCTATTTCATTCAAAATAACGATGTTAAAGTATTTTTATATGTCAATAACGCATTATTAAAGCGCCAAGTGGACATACCAATTAGACTTAAAACAAATGCCTAAATGTAAGATCCATAAACTTTCGAATATTCATCATTTATCAATTCACAAAGGGCGTTATTGTTACATAATTATTAAGTATGCAGTCATTTGTTTTGGAATAATAATGGATTAATTGTATTATATTACTGCACACTAATATCGGCAATGAATGAAATATTATATTATTTTATAGTCTAATTATAAACGAATCGTGTACATATGTAAAGTACCAGAAAAGATATACAATGTAAAATATCACTAACCCATTCCCGAACCGCATATAATCCCTATTTTCGGTCTAATCTTGATGCGATCCAATAAATACTGTGCTGATTCTTGCAACGTTTCGAAGGTATACCTGAAAGACATAATAATATGTATTTTGTATTTATTAATTGTAATAAATATAAACATGTTGAATTGTTCAAAATTGAGTCAGTATCCGTGTTGAATACTTATGTATGGCCTTTATTACTACTGTACACCTATATTATTATTATTCCTATACAATCAATAAAGATAGAAATGTAAATACTTGCAGAAATGTAGGTATGTACATCTCATAGTTTTGTTAACTTTCCAATATTCAGTTTTTTTAACTTTTGATCTTTTATCTTATTATAAATCGCGACCAAAGCTACTGTGTATATGGACAAGTTGTAAGGTAATAGGATTGCGAAGGAACTGTAACTCTCAACAGACCCGCAATCGAACATACATGGCGCGGGGTGCCAGTCGCCTTCTCTCTGTACCGCGGATATCACAGAGACATATTAAAGCGTACTCAACAGATTGGTACTGATTAAGCGGCCGTCGTCGTACCCGTTGCTTTAGCTTACACGATCGCGCAGCTATATTAAACGTACGTCCCATCATAATTGCATGTAATTGCGTACCTAGGCTTTGCGGTAATGACAACTATGGAGACTAGCCACCGCGCACCGCCATGTATAATTCGTACACGATACAAGTAGTTTCAAAAGTTGGATATTGCAAGTACGATTACTTTATATGATAAGTTTAGTAATTTTATCATAATTATAATACTATTATATAATACAAAGTAAAAATACACGAACTGTGCGTCATTTCCTCTTGGTTTATATATCCTGCCGCCACCTATCCAGGCATTTTCATACGCACACATATTTTTCGAATATATTTACAATTATATTAAATTACATCATCATAATAATGTAAATATATTATTATTATATAATGAAACAATGGATCTAAATTTTTTATTGAGTTACGCAAGATTTGTAATAAACATTTTATTATCATCAATTTTCACACAAGTTTTAATTCCAAAATAAGTTATTTTAAATACATACCTCGCAGAAATTAATTAAACTTGAAAATTCTTATACGGAAACGTCATTATTGTATTAAGTTATAAACAATTAAACTGCACACATTCGCATGAATATCGAATAAAATTAGTGCACTCAGGGCCATAATTACGCATACACGTTTGCGTATACTGTTACATTCACTCTATTAATTTTCATAGATTAACTGATATTGATTATTATCGCACGACTGATCTTGTTTTTCAACTTGTTACGTAAATACTGCGCAGATTATAACAATTATTTAAAATTAAAATGAGATTTAAATTTTTAATTTGTATTCATACATCTTAATTATTCCTTATAAAAAAGTTTCAAACAGGAACCTGATTTTACTTCCGGGTGTATAATTCCAGATAGAATATATGAAATATGCAAAAGGGAAATATTCGTACGAGATAAAGATAAATAGATAGAACGTGTATTGCCATTTCTCTTTTCAAATCAATCAATATTAAACTTATTGTTAACTCACTCAAATAAAATTATTCGGTAGGTGATTAAGCTTTGATACTTGCTCTAAATTGTCAAAGTTATGGAAAAGTAGAGCATAATAAATGCAAATATTCTTAACTTGATTTCTTTTTAAAAATGAACACCTATTTTAATTCTTTTTTTTCTCAAAGCTTCAACATAAGTCTCAAATTGTTTGTACGAATTCTTAAATTAATCAGCTTCCAGAATTGTTAGATTCTTTAAAGTTTTAATTTTTCTAATCTAAAATTTTTGGATTCTTTGAACATTTTCTCAGACATTTGAATAGTTGAACGCTTAAGGGGCTGCGCGGAATAAAAAGAATAAGAAACAAGGAATAAGAATTTCAACCTATAAGCAGAAACCATTGCATGTATTCTTACAATACACGATTTCTGATAAGTTGAAATTCTTCTTATTCTCTGTTCTCTATTTTCTATTCCTTTTATTCTTTGCAGCCCTTGAGACGTTGCCTTTGTACTTTAAATGTTAAACATTTTCTACTGTGATGTGTGTCATTGTGTAAAATTACGGACATCAAAATGGCCAAATGGCCGCAAGTTTGAATTACTACATACGGCTGTTATGCGCGCGCTCGTTCACTTCAATTCACGGAAATTTTGCATGTGCATTTGCGCGCGTGTGTGCGCATACACGATAGATGAGGCTGCGTGAATCTGGCATATACAGTGTAACTAAAATATCGAAAGAGAAAAAAACATTGACCAAAATATGTTTATTATACATATATCTGCAAGCACGTTACATTTATTTACGCTATATATGAGTATTGGATGTCAATACTTAATAAAAAAATTTGATTTTTAAAAATTAAAAAGCGTCTATACCTCTTTGTGTCTCTCTATTTTTAAGCCTAACATTACCTATAAGGCAAGACGCTGTATTCTATTTCACTTTTTGTTGCTGCTTCTTTTTATTTTACCAATCTTTTATTTGTAATATTATTATTAACACGTTCACTGTCATCAGTGTCAGATATCAGTGTGATTTACTTAGAATTTGCCTCTTTAATGCATTCTATGTGTGCAAACGTACACTACATTGAATAAAATTTAAACGTGTAAAAATGGTGATTTATAGCGGAAATTTTTCTAATCTCACCATAGCAAACAGCTGTTAATTTATCACCGTCAACAGAAAAAAATTGTTGAACTAATGTGTCATTCGCGATCAATAGGTATAGAAGTCATTCAAGGTAAAATGGATCGATTATCTATATCTAATTTTCTCCTTGAATAAGCTAAGGTATACGAGAAAACATTATGACGAATTGAAAGAACAACTTTTTTTATTCAACAATATACAATACATTCTATTTTATTAATCAGTATTAAAATCTTTAAAAATCTTTTATTAGATCTCGAAATATCTATCTCATTACAGATTGAGGCGTTCGAGTGTCGATCAGCAGAATAATATGCATATTATATGTATATATATTGTATGTATATATATGTATATATATATATATATATATATATATATATGCATGCAAGCATAAAACTCTCTTACATAATTTTCAATAATTCTGTAATTCTTTTGTTTTTCAAAGCAACGTTTTATATTTTTTACTTTATAATAATTATAAACGTTCTCTAATATTAAACTAACGTTGTTTAATCTACAGCTACAAGATTTCAAAATGCAGACTTACAACTTTTTCCTGAGCACCACGTATATATTCGCAAACGCGTTTCGCATACGCATATGCAGTATTCCGATGCATGATTTGTAATACCCCTGAAGCCTATGTTACGCATTTAGCTTAAATCCGCTACTATTTGAGCTTGCCGGTAGTTTAGCAGGTAACCGCATCGTTTTGTACCAGTTTCAGAGCGAAATTACATCGAATTATAGTGAGCGCGCGCGGAGCGCGCCCGGAATACTTTGTTCATTCGATTTGCGCCATATTTGTGAGAAGTAGAATTAACTCAACTAATTTCGTAATATTGATAATCGTTAGTAGCCAGCAATAGCAAATATTATTTGTACATACGTTTTAACTTATATATTCTTTTATATTCTACATATGTATATCGTACAATCTGCTACCTTACGTCAAATTGATGCAAAAAAATTTTTAATAAAATTTCTAAAGTGTAATTTAACTCTATAATTAATTTCAAGTGGACTTAATAAGATTTTAATTTGCAAAATAGTTATAAATTTAAAGATATTCATGATTCATATTCATGATTATAAAAATTGAAAAGGTATGACTTTCAATATAAAACTTGTACAAAATATCCCTTATTACTATTCTTGTTTTTAATTTTTTTTTAAATTTTGTATTTTAATGTCTTTGACATTATATTAGAAATGTTATAAGAAATAATTTATATAAATAATAGGATACTTACGTATGACGCCCATGCTTCACATTTGTTTGCAGCACATCGTCGTTGTTAGTCACTCGTTTGGCAGCTGGGAGGCTATCGTGACCATTGGCGGTTTCCGGAAACGGCATTTTCAATCGAATAATAGCGATTGGAATAAGGATCACTTACAATCGAACAATGACAATTGATAAAAATAAAGAAACTAATCGATTCGCGTATAGTATGTCGCGCGCTCACGACAAGTGACTGGCGTGACTTTCGTGAGTCTATTTTATAGAGGAGTTCAAGCGCGAGTCAAAAAAAATGTGAACGAGAATAAGTTTACCAATGGTCTTGGACACGCATAAGCGCGTCGACCAATCAGCGAACGTACAAGTTGTGGGGTATGGGAATAGAAGTAGGGAGGAGACGTATACGCTGATAACCCGTTACAGAGCAAGTGGTCCAATTATTGTTATTTGTTTCGACAACGACGTTGACGTCGGCGAAGCGCGAAATCTAGCGCGACGCAACGTCGGAATAATATTCCAGTTGACGAACAAACTGATTAAGTTTATCTCGATGAATATAGAAACGCGCGCTCGGGATATTATAAAAGTACTCTGTTGAGAAGAAATTAAAACACATTTAAAGAAAAATATAGACAAGAACATCTATATACATCTTATAAAATATTTATCTATCTAAAAATATCAATCTATGGAGTTATAATATCTAGTTTAAATATAATATCATAGTAGGTACTAGTAGGATCGAGTTTAGGTAATTACAGATTTTAGACAATTTAATTTATTATCTTCAGTATTAAAAATAGCAAATAATTAATTAATTTTTTTTATTGGATAAAAATATAGTACTAACAGATGATTTAACTCAAAAATAAATGCAGCGATTTATAATAAATATTTTTAATTCAATATATTAGGTATATACAATTTTAAATTTATTTCTAAATTAACACATTTCTTTCGATTTCTTTCTCTTTATTTTGTTTCTTCTTTTACTTTCTATATTGTAAAAGATTTTATAAAGACCTTTCTTTATCGAGAATAATCCAAAGCAAATAGAATAAATAATAAAACATGATTCAAACTGGTACTTTTCTTTCGATTGTCGAGCATACGACAATCTTTACTGATTCTCGCTAGAGAATATCGAGTATCAATAAAAAAAAAAAACACAAATAAAGTATGTGACATTCTCGTGCAGAGATAAGTACAGCTGCTGCATACTTTCAAATAAGACACAACGACATGCTTGCCAAAGATATGTAGACATCTATTTAAAGCTATAGTAAATTTATGGTAGATTAAATCAAATTAAATTAAATTTTTCCCTGTTCATATTATTAATTAACTATTTTAAATATTATTATATTTTAAATATTAACTATTTTAATTATTTATTAACTATTTTAAATCCTAAGTCTATATTTTTATTAGAGAAAAGGTTTAATTTTCTTTATATAACTGTAAACAATCTTAAATTTTTTTATTAAAAATTTTCAAAATTTTTGACAGGAAATTTTGAGATTTTCTTACTGTGTGTGTGTGTAAATATTTTTCTTATTACATTATTACTATTCCAGAATGTCTTCCTGTATAAATCAGTCCTATTAAGATATTGAACGTAAGAGTGGAAATTTAACATATAATTGGAGCACAAAATCGAACGTTAAGCGCAGCTGTATTGTATAGATAAGATAAGAAATCTCATGACGAAGTAAATGTAAAATTAGGATGTCTTCGATAACATCTCTTTTTCTAACGTCATTCTTTTTCCGATTATTTTAAATGTCCGATATATTATAACATTTTTACATACTTATAGTATGTTTTGTTTATTTACAAAAATATATAAATTAAACTATAAATAATAAAACATGTACATACTATTAGAGAGAAAGAGAGAGAGAGTGGTTTCAGAGTGATTTAAAATATTGCAACTATAATGATATTATTAATTAAAGTTTCAAGACAATTTTAGAGGAGGTTCACTTAAAAAGTTAAACAGATAAGAAAATTTTATTTTTCGTTTACTTTAAGTGACTCTTACTTTTTAACAAGTTTGTTTTTGCCAATCATAATTGATAAGATATTAAATATAAAAAAATTAAACTATTATGATAAATAACTTATTCTTATTAAAGAGTTTTCTAAGAAAAAAAATAAACTGTGCTATTGCAATTGTAATAATCAGAGAAATCCATTAAACAAGAAAAACAGAAAATCTTTTTTCAATATTTGTTTTGTTTAAAAACAATTAGAATTTGTTAAAAATCTCTGAAGTTGTATCATTAAAAAGATTAATTATAAAAACAAATATGAATAATCTAGTTCTACTGTCAACAATCTGCGTGCATATTTACACGTGGCTCACAATCATTCATGTGATATTTTCTTATATGTATGTTTCCAATCTATCTCTTCATTCATAAAAATAATACTTGATGTATTATATATATTTACATATAAAATTATACTTTAGTTTAATTACATTTTAGTTTCATTAATAAATTTATCACAAAATATAAACAAAAAATCAATAAATGTTTAAGAAAAGCGTAATTTAAAAATCTGATAGAAATAGACTTTCAACTAAATTAAAATATTATTTCTAACATATTAATGAAATAAATCTAGAATATTAGTATAAATTTATCTTATAATTATTTATGGTAAATATAAAATTTAACGTAAATCAATCTTTGAGCAAAACGATAACAAATTAATCATTGATAAAAATTCAACAGCAGTAACATATATAGAATTAATTATCCATAATACATATTTGAAATTATCGAGAAAATTAATTTCTTTTATAACCTATCCTAATATATATTATGAAGATAGTATTTGTAATTTTCTAATGATATTAAATAATTCAAGTAGTAAAAAATTCAAATTTAAAATACTAAAATTTTCTTAATCTAAAGATATAAGATATATTCATTTGGACAATTGAAATTCGATTTAGTTAAAATAATGGAATAAAATTGGGCTATCTAACAAGAAAATAAATACAAACTAATTATGTTTAGTTTACGGTCTTTATTGCTTTTATCTAAATTTTCTTTGACTATCTAAATGATTTAAAAGATTGAATCTTTAAGCATTGCAAATTATTTAATTAAATCGTTATGTATTTCATTGCTTGGTAAACGAGTTATATCCACATTCGAACTTGACGTTTTTGTCTCTACGTATATAGTCGTCTCGTACCTAATAGATTAAATTTGAATTTAATTTATAGTTAAGAGCAATATGTAAAATTGTACCGCGCGTATTTAAGAAAATATACGAATAGCACTTACGTTTCGATTAATTAAAAAAACATTAATTCTTTAAATCTTTAATTATCTTTAATTTATCTTTAATTTTTCCAATAAGCAATGGGGTATACCTAGTTAGGAGGCCGAAAGAAGACAACTTTTTGTGAATTTTTTTCGAAAAAGTGTATGCATATTTTTGTATCAAAGTTTTTATATTCGAAAGAGCCTATTTTTAACAAAGTTTTCATTTTTTTTTTTATGCAAAGATATTAATAAATAAATAAATAGGTTGTTTAATAGCTAATGTCCGAGGAGCCGAGCTTTTCGAAAACGAGATTTGCGGTGATCTGCACTAATACTGTTTTGAACCAAGTTATCAAAAATGCAAAAATTCAAAAAATTTAATTAATATATGAATTTATCTAGTCTAATCGATCGATATTCCGAAAAATTGAATTGCGATAAAATGGCGGCTGTTTAAAGTTTAAGTTCAATTTTCTTTCAAAACAAACGGACATTTTTCGTCCATAAAAGTACGCATTGAAAAAAAATTTTAATTAAAGACTAGATTTACATGTTTAAAAGAAACATGTAAAATTTCAAATTGATCGGTGCAGTGATTTTTTAGATATTGTGGTTACCGATTTTGAAAACATATAGTTTTGAGAGAAAAACGCGTTTAAAGTTTCAAGTGCAATTTATACTAAACTTCAATCTACGCAGAATTATCTATAATTCCAAGGCTATATAATACATGCACTCTTTGGTAAAGTTGCTGCTTCTAAAACATCAATTTGTTGTTCCCGACGATATGTATTCTTGAGTTTTTTGCAGATGCATTAAAACTATATCTTCACCGTTTCACTTCGACGAACGTATACTCAAGATCGTGTATCTCCATGAAAATACAGCGGATCAATTTAATATTTTGAGGGAATATTTCTAACATTATATACTTTAAGAAAATGTGATTTTGGAAAAATCGATTTTTTCAAAATTTCTAACTAAGTATACTCCCTTCAATCAAATCAAGTTTCAAATTATTTATTGCGCATTGAAAAATATTTTATTATTACTTAACATTTTTAACGAGTAAATATGATTTATATCTTAAAAAATATAATTAAACTAGCTATTAATTTCCAATATTATTAAAACTATTAAAAGGAAACGTACGCTTGGCTAGAGCAAGTCTGTTCAATCATTATATCGTTCAATAAAGTCGCGTCTGCATACGCGCGCTATCAATCACATACCTATCTTCTTGTTACAAAAGATGTGGTCCTTCTTCTCCAAAACCAGCGATATACTACATTACTAAAAATAAATTAACTTGCATTAGATCAATTGTGTAGCATTTGACAATTGCAAAGCATCAATTAGTATCAGTTTCAACAACGCCAGTATGTACATGGTTGCAATGCGCTCCTAAATTTATTACAGCTCGTGATAAGTTATTGGGGGTCAGCAGATAAGGCGGAACCCCAACGAATCTGCGTGGATCGCATTCGGGTCGGGATTGATGGTCTTGCTTTTGCTTTCGATATTTCGTAACGACGTCTATATTACGCTTATCTATACTGACTGCGATAGAATGCGACAATAATCATTTGGAATTGACTTTTTAATTATAAAACAACAAGTTTTGAAAACCTTGGTAAATTTATAACACTACATACTTACACACATAGTTTTCTAAATAGTCAATAATATCGCGCGTGACGCAAAAGGCGATCAAAGAATATTTTACCCGATCGTTACCAGTATTATAGTTACTGAACCGTACGCGTATATAATTGTATGACATCAGCTATTGACTCTTGAACGACAATTGGTCGATATGATACAGTCGAGAATTGATCGATAGTTAGAACTTTATTAAATAAGCAGATTGTCGAATGCACTGGATGTTTCATGCTAAATGGAATATTTTAGCAATATACTTATTGTTAGTTATCAGAATTCTGGCAACATCATTTAATTATCAAAGATTTATTT